CATTTCATTGTTTCAGATAATTACAAATCCACTTTTTGTACAAAGACGTGATTAACAAGAAAACCCTTTTCACCTTCTTCCTGGTTAAGGTTTATTTGTTCCCGTCATCTGTATCCGCGCTGTGTGATACAGTATCCATCAGCCACTGTTAGCTACTGAGCACTCATAATGATATGTGCTGTAAATATAAAAAAAAATACGTCCCGCATTTCAGAGACTCAGTATGAAAGAAAGGGTTAAACTATATTTATACTAATGCCATGTTAAAGTCAGACTATTTTGGATAGTGGTTTAGGGTTCCCCAACATCATCTATGTGTTAGGTGATGTGCTAGAAGAGCTCTCGGAACCCAGTGTGTACACCGCCAAGATTGACACTGTGAAAGGATGCTTGCTAGGATTGGCACCAGAAAAAGACCATTGGTCTGGAAGGACCCTTGCACAGGCTTCCTTATGTCCTCTCCCTTCCTAGAGGAACATTCTAAGCCTGTTTCTCCAGCATGCATACAGTGGTTCTGCCCAGAGAAGCACATCAGAGACTCAATACCTAAGGTTTTTGTTGGGATCTGCTGGTCATAAAAGCCCCCTCTGCCTTTCGTGTACTAATTTTCCAGTTTGAAAAACTCCATTTGAGGGGCCAGCAGGTGGTGCGGTAGTTAAGGTGCTGGACTCCCAGGTGGCTGACCGCTGCTCGAGTCCTGGACCTGGCAGCTTGAAAATCACACTGGGCACGTGCATACTTGCCCAAAATCCCAGGAGGAGAAGGGATTGCGGCATAGCCATTATCCCTGGGGGAGGGGGTGATTTCTCATTTTCCCTCTCACTCTCTCTCTCTGGCAAGTGCACACACATTATGGAAAAAAAAAAAAAAGGTACCAGCAGTTAGCGTAATGGCTATGTCGCTGGACTCCCATGTAGTCAACCGCGGTTTGTTTCCCGGACCCGGTGGCTTAAAACTCACGCGGGCGCATGTGTGTGCGTGCCCAAGATCCTGAGAGGAGAATGGAGGAGAAGGGACTGTGGCATGGCCATCTCCCCCGGGGGGTGATTTCTCACTTTCTGTCTCTCTGTCTCTATCTGTCTGGAGAGCCCACGTACCCTATAGCAAAAATCGCTCCAACAAAAAGAAAAAAACGTAAAAAAAAAAAAGGAAAATCTCCATTTGATAAGCACATGTCAGAGCCCAGTACCAGAGCTCAAGACAATACATTTTACATATTTATCATTCATTCAAATTCTTGAACTATTCTTTTCGTTATTCTCTAAGCTTTTAATGATTTGTAATTGTCATGTATTCATCCGTGAAAATAATCAATATTTCGGAAGATCTTTCTGTAAGCAGGCTAATTCTCCATGGGAGATTCACTGCATGCCTGCCCATTGTAGGTTGCAGATGTGACTAAAATAGTATAACTTGACTCAAACAGATGATTTAGAATAGCAATCAGGATGTTTGACTTCTTCCAGGCACTGAATTCTAATAGAGACCTTCTTTAAGAAAGGATATGGTTTTAGGAAAATTATTTCTAAGACTATAACTGTGAAAGCAGCAGAAGATATTTTTGTTAGAATAAATCCATAATGTGATTTTTTAATGACGTACTGCCTGTGGGCCCCCCTGTGGGCTTGGCTGAAGGACAGACCATCTTTCAGCGTCATTGCCACATATAGTTAAATATAGCGGGGAGTGGAAATCTTAGCCCTCCCCTTCTTTCCTGCACCATGATCCAGGAATGTGTTAAGGTGGGAAGGAGAGAGTGTTTAGACTTTAAGTAAAGAGCAGTTTATAACTGGCGCTATTTTTGCTGTTTGTCTCATAAAGACAGTCAGTCTCTTTTTTTTTTTTTAAGCTTTAAAGTATGTCGTTTTTTTAACCAGCCATGCTTATTCAGTGAAAAGCCATAAAGCCTAATGTATTTGTAATTTTGAATACAATTCACATTTCTACAAAACAAAACCTGACAATTTTCACTATATTCAAATTGCTTTAAATAATATCGAGTGCACTTGTACAGAATCTGTAATTAAAAACTGTGGACATTTTGCCCTCACTGTTCAATTAATGAGAAACACAGAGCAGAAAGCCTGTCTTCCTTTTTCTTCATGACAGACAGTAATGTGCCGCGTGGTAACAAGATTCAAGCCAGGCACATTCCACACAATAGCGTGAAAACCCAATCATCATACTCAGGAACCAAGAAAGGATCAAAAAACTTGTCTTGCAGGCTACCTTTGAAGTTGGAGAGAGCCATCAAAATGCAGTCACATAATAACATGTGGATAAACTTTAAAAACCATTGATAGTTTGACTTAGGAAATCAGAATACAAGGGAGCCACAGTGATGTTCATTTGCGCATCATCAGCTCCTCTTGAAAATAGCTTATCTTCCCAGCATTCCCATTAGTGAACTAGATAAAATAGGCAGTAGACTTAGAGTACCACATATAATATAGTGTATGTAATAGAATTATGGTATAGCATTTAAATAAAAACAGTACTCCAGTATGTAGGAATAAGGTAAGGTACATCTTTATTAACTTTCTTGATCTCCATGTATGGCTTATTTATGTGACTGCTATCTATTGTTCTTGTTTTTACAATGAACTTTGAAACCATCAAGACTTTTAATTATTTTTTTTAGAGGTTTTTGCTATAGGGCATATGCACTCGCCAGAGAGACAGAAAGCAAGAAATTACCCCCTGGGGGGATGGCCACGCCGCAATCCCTTCTCCTCCATTCTCCTCTTGGGATCTTGGGCACGCACGCACACGCCCTGCATGAGTTTTAAGCCACTGGGTCCAGGACTCGAACCGCGGTTGACTACGTGGGAGTCCAGCGACATCGCCATTACTCCAACTGCCCACCATCAAGACTTTTAAAAAAAAAATGATCTAACTTATTTTAATAGTCTAAATGATACTACTTTGACAAGTTCATAGTTTCTGAATAATAATATAACTTGTTAATTATATGCATTTTTTGCACCAATATTAAAAATAGTATCAGCATGATTGAGACCACTATTTTATAGTCTCGGCATTTTTTAGAACCACTGGCATATTCTGCACTCCACCCCATTCTTTTCTCTTTTTTTTTGGAGAGGTTTTTGCTATAGGGCGCATGCACTCGCCAGACAGAGAGAGAGAGACAGAGAGACAGAAAGCGAGAAATCACCCCTCAGGGGGGATGACCACGCCCAACCCCTTCTCCTCTGTTCTCCTCTCAGGATCGTGGGCACGCACACACATGCACCCGGCATGAGTTTTAAGCCACCAGGTCCAGGACGTGAACCACGGTCGACTACGTGGGAGTCCAGCGACATAGCCATTACGCTAACTGCTGGTCCCCCACCCCATTCATTTTTAAATGGAAGCTTAGACCCAGGGAAGTTTAAGATCTTTAAGTCTACGGATGAACCAGTAACAGAAACAATTTGTAATCACTAGTCCATTGCTTCTCCCACTTTCTGCTGTTCAGTACTATTTCCCAAGTTATTCATAGTTGTTAGCTGTTTTGAGCTCTTTACTCATAAAAGCCACATAGGGATTATTGTACTAGAACTGCAGTGGTTAAGTATGCAGCAAGTAAGCAAGCTTAAAAGTTTAATATAGGACCAGCAGGTGGTATGGTGGTTAAGGATCTGGGTCCCACGTGGCCAGCTCTACAGTACTAGTCCTGGACTTGGCAGCTTAAAAAACACGCCATACACGTGTGCGTGGGTACCCAAAATTCTGAGAGGAGAGTGGAGGAGGGATTGCCGCCTGGCCCTACCCTGCTAGGGGGTGGTTTCTCACTTTCCCTCTCTCACATGCACACGCTGTCTCTGGTTTGCATGCATGCCCTGTAGCAAATTGAAAAACAGTAATAAAAAAGTCCTGCCTAAAATGCCACACAGTCAATCAAAGAAAATATCTGAGGTATGTCAGTATAATACAGAGCAATAGTCAATCTTCCTTCATTGATATAGCACATATTTTCTGAAAATCAAACATATAAATTCATTAGGCTAATCCCGGCCTAAATTTTAATTTAAAATTTTAGTGCAATTATAATTTTAGAAGTCAAAATGGTTAGTTTAGTTCTATAAACTTCTGTCATACCTCCAAAATCTAGTTTAACAAGAGAAAAATAATAAACTGCCTCACTTTTTATTATTATTATTATTATTATTACTTGAGTGCACTTACAATAGACTTGTATTACAATAGTAAGAGACGGAAGATCTTTCTGTAAGCAGGCTAATTCTCCATGGGAGATTCACTGCATGCCTGCCCATTGTAGGTTGCAGATGTGACTAAAATAGTATAACTTGACTCAAACAGATGATTTAGAATAGCAATCAGGATGTTTGACTTCTTCCAGGCACTGAATTCTAATAGAGACCTTCTTTAAGAAAGGATATGGTTTTAGGAAAATTATTTCTAAGACTATAACTGTGAAAGCAGCAGAAGATATTTTTGTTAGAATAAATCCATAATGTGATTTTTTAATGACGTACTGCCTGTGGGCCCCCCTGTGGGCTTGGCTGAAGGACAGACCATCTTTCAGCGTCATTGCCACATATAGTTAAATATAGCGGGGAGTGGAAATCTTAGCCCTCCCCTTCTTTCCTGCACCATGATCCAGGAATGTGTTAAGGTGGGAAGGAGAGAGTGTTTAGACTTTAAGTAAAGAGCAGTTTATAACTGGCGCTATTTTTGCTGTTTGTCTCATAAAGACAGTCAGTCTCTTTTTTTTTTTTTAAGCTTTAAAGTATGTCGTTTTTTTAACCAGCCATGCTTATTCAGTGAAAAGCCATAAAGCCTAATGTATTTGTAATTTTGAATACAATTCACATTTCTACAAAACAAAACCTGACAATTTTCACTATATTCAAATTGCTTTAAATAATATCGAGTGCACTTGTACAGAATCTGTAATTAAAAACTGTGGACATTTTGCCCTCACTGTTCAATTAATGAGAAACACAGAGCAGAAAGCCTGTCTTCCTTTTTCTTCATGACAGACAGTAATGTGCCGCGTGGTAACAAGATTCAAGCCAGGCACATTCCACACAATAGCGTGAAAACCCAATCATCATACTCAGGAACCAAGAAAGGATCAAAAAACTTGTCTTGCAGGCTACCTTTGAAGTTGGAGAGAGCCATCAAAATGCAGTCACATAATAACATGTGGATAAACTTTAAAAACCATTGATAGTTTGACTTAGGAAATCAGAATACAAGGGAGCCACAGTGATGTTCATTTGCGCATCATCAGCTCCTCTTGAAAATAGCTTATCTTCCCAGCATTCCCATTAGTGAACTAGATAAAATAGGCAGTAGACTTAGAGTACCACATATAATATAGTGTATGTAATAGAATTATGGTATAGCATTTAAATAAAAACAGTACTCCAGTATGTAGGAATAAGGTAAGGTACATCTTTATTAACTTTCTTGATCTCCATGTATGGCTTATTTATGTGACTGCTATCTATTGTTCTTGTTTTTACAATGAACTTTGAAACCATCAAGACTTTTAATTATTTTTTTTAGAGGTTTTTGCTATAGGGCATATGCACTCGCCAGAGAGACAGAAAGCAAGAAATTACCCCCTGGGGGGATGGCCACGCCGCAATCCCTTCTCCTCCATTCTCCTCTTGGGATCTTGGGCACGCACGCACACGCCCTGCATGAGTTTTAAGCCACTGGGTCCAGGACTCGAACCGCGGTTGACTACGTGGGAGTCCAGCGACATCGCCATTACTCCAACTGCCCACCATCAAGACTTTTAAAAAAAAAATGATCTAACTTATTTTAATAGTCTAAATGATACTACTTTGACAAGTTCATAGTTTCTGAATAATAATATAACTTGTTAATTATATGCATTTTTTGCACCAATATTAAAAATAGTATCAGCATGATTGAGACCACTATTTTATAGTCTCGGCATTTTTTAGAACCACTGGCATATTCTGCACTCCACCCCATTCTTTTCTCTTTTTTTTTGGAGAGGTTTTTGCTATAGGGCGCATGCACTCGCCAGACAGAGAGAGAGAGACAGAGAGACAGAAAGCGAGAAATCACCCCTCAGGGGGGATGACCACGCCCAACCCCTTCTCCTCTGTTCTCCTCTCAGGATCGTGGGCACGCACACACATGCACCCGGCATGAGTTTTAAGCCACCAGGTCCAGGACGTGAACCACGGTCGACTACGTGGGAGTCCAGCGACATAGCCATTACGCTAACTGCTGGTCCCCCACCCCATTCATTTTTAAATGGAAGCTTAGACCCAGGGAAGTTTAAGATCTTTAAGTCTACGGATGAACCAGTAACAGAAACAATTTGTAATCACTAGTCCATTGCTTCTCCCACTTTCTGCTGTTCAGTACTATTTCCCAAGTTATTCATAGTTGTTAGCTGTTTTGAGCTCTTTACTCATAAAAGCCACATAGGGATTATTGTACTAGAACTGCAGTGGTTAAGTATGCAGCAAGTAAGCAAGCTTAAAAGTTTAATATAGGACCAGCAGGTGGTATGGTGGTTAAGGATCTGGGTCCCACGTGGCCAGCTCTACAGTACTAGTCCTGGACTTGGCAGCTTAAAAAACACGCCATACACGTGTGCGTGGGTACCCAAAATTCTGAGAGGAGAGTGGAGGAGGGATTGCCGCCTGGCCCTACCCTGCTAGGGGGTGGTTTCTCACTTTCCCTCTCTCACATGCACACGCTGTCTCTGGTTTGCATGCATGCCCTGTAGCAAATTGAAAAACAGTAATAAAAAAGTCCTGCCTAAAATGCCACACAGTCAATCAAAGAAAATATCTGAGGTATGTCAGTATAATACAGAGCAATAGTCAATCTTCCTTCATTGATATAGCACATATTTTCTGAAAATCAAACATATAAATTCATTAGGCTAATCCCGGCCTAAATTTTAATTTAAAATTTTAGTGCAATTATAATTTTAGAAGTCAAAATGGTTAGTTTAGTTCTATAAACTTCTGTCATACCTCCAAAATCTAGTTTAACAAGAGAAAAATAATAAACTACCTCACTTTTTATTATTATTATTATTATTATTACTTGAGTGCACTTACAATAGACTTGTATTACAATAGTAAGAGAAGAGAGAGAGAAAACACCCCCCAATGGGATGTAGTCATGCTGCAGTCTGTTTTCCTCCATTTTTTCATCCCCTCAGGATTTGGGGCATGGATACACACATGTGCCTGTCATGTTTTTCAAGCTGCTGGGGCCAGCATTTGGACCAGCTCTGTGAGATCTGGCTCCCAGGGCACAGCACTTAACCTCTGCATGACAGGGCTGACCCAAAGCTATCTCACTTCTGGACTTAGATTTTATTCTGTGTCTTTTTTCTTTCATAATTTGCCAGACAGTGGTATGCTAGCTAGAGGGAAAGGGTGAGAGAAAGCATCCCCTTGTAGAATGGTCACACTGCAGTCCTTTCTCTTTTCCCTACTTTCAGGATTTCAGGCATGCACACACACATCCAGCATGTTTTTTGAGCCACTGGGTCTGAGACTCAAACTGCACAGTTGGCCGTGTAGGATCTAGCCATCCCAACCACCACGCCAAGAAGGGCTGGCCCTTTTTGTGTGTCTACACTTAAATGTTTTATACTGGTCTGTTGGACTTCTGTCTCTGATCTAGGACTTTATTTCCTAACACAAGTAAGCACATTAAATCATAATACAGTGTAACAAATGCTTACTTATATAAGGAAAAGTGCCAGACAGAGAAGTATATGGAGTATGACAACACACAGGAGTTGGGACCAGCAGTTGACTTAATGGCTATGTTGCTGGACTCCCATGTAGTCGACCATGATTTGAGTCCCGGATCCGGTGACTTACATTCACGCTGGGTGCATGTGCATGTGTGCCCAAAATCCTGAGAGGAGAATGGAGGGGAAGGGATTATGGCATGACCATCCCCCCTGGGGAGTGATTTCTTGCTTTCTGTCTCTTTGTCTCTCTCTGTCTTTCTGGCGAGCTCACGTGACCTATAGCAAAAACCTCTCCAAAAAAAGAAGGAAAGGAAAAAAGAAACACACAGGAGCAATTAGCCACATAGGAGAATTGAGAGCTTTTCACTGGGTGTGTGACATCTGAGATGATCTTGAAAAATGTCAGTGGTCACCAGGAAAGAAAACAGAAGCATTTTAGACTAAAAGAACAACTTAAACAGAATATGAAATTACATGGTATATATAGTCCATATACCTTTATTTTAAAATAATGTTTTCTAGGAGGCCAGCAGTTGGCATGGAGGTTAAGGTGGCCGGATCCCATATGGCCAACTCAGTGATTAAGTCCTGGACCTGGCAGCTAGAGAACCACACCAGGCACATGTGTGTGCCTGGCCAAAATTCCGAGAGGAGAAGGGATTGCGATGTTACCATCCTCTCTGGGGAGTGATTTCTCACATTTTCTCTGTCTCTCTGTCTGTCTCTTTTTCTCTCTCTCAAGAGTGCACATACTCTAGGGCAAACTAAAAATATAATAATTTCTGAACTTCAGAAGATTGGATTTTTCCCCTTTTTTTATTGTGGTAAAATGTATGTACATAACAGGGACCAGCAGATGGTGTAATGGCTATGTCACTGGACTCCCATGTAGTTGACTATGGTTTGAGTCCCAGACCCGGTGGCTTAAACTCACGCTGGGCATGTGTGCTTGCGTGCCCAAGATCCTGAGAGGAGAATGGAGGAGAAGGGATTGTGGCATGCCCATCCCCCCTGGGGGGTGATTTCTCACTTTCTGGCGAGCACATGCACCCTATAGCAAAAAAGAAAAATCTTTTTAAAAATGTACTTTTTTTTTTTAATTAGCTAGAGGTTGCATGTACTAGTTGGAGAGAGAGAGAAAGCGAAAAGACATCCCCCATGCTCATGGTCACATCACAGTCCCTTCTCCATCTCTCCCTCCTGTTTGGGATTTTAGGCATACGCTTAACATGTCTGGAGTATTTTTTAAGCCCCCAGGTCCGAGACTCAAACTGCACAGTTGGTCATGTGGGATGCAGTCACCCTAACCACAAGGCCACAAGTTGGCCCTAAAAATTACCATTTTAATGGGTTGGCCCCATAGCATAGGGCTTAAGTGTTATGCATAGGAAGCCAGATTCCACATGTCTAACCGTGGTTCAGATTCCAGCCCCAGTGGCTTGCAAAACACCAGGCATGTGTGTGCATGCCCCAAATCCTGTATGATGGAGAAATGAAGGAAACTTGATTGCAACATGACCATGCCCCTTGGAGGGTTCTTTCTCTCTCCTTTCTCCCTCTCTCTCTCTCTCTCTCTCTCTCTCTCTCTCTCTCCCCCTAGTGAGCACATAGGCCCCCTGGAAATAAAATAAAATTATGATTTTAACCATCTTCATTTGTACAGTTTAGTGGCATTACACACATTCAGTGTTGAGGAATCATCACTGCTGTCCATCTCCAGAACATTTTCACCATTCCAAATTGAAACTGTGCACATTACACACTTTTGCTCCAGCTCCTGGAGACTCCTGTTCTCCTTTCTGTCTCTATGAACTGGCCTCTGCTAGGGAGCTCAAAAAAGTGGAGTTGCACAATATTTGTCATACAGCAATTATGCTAAGCGAATATTTCATATTTCACTTAAGCATGTTTTTAAGCTTCACCCACCTTGTATTATTGCCAGATGGTGCTTCTGCTCACCAGAGAGATGGAGAAACACAGGGAGGGAGAGAGAGAAAACTCTCTCCAATAGGATGTGATCACACCACAATCTATTTTTTCATTCTCCAACTCACTGGAATAGATTCTAGGCGTGCATGCACAAGCACCTTGTGTGTTTTTCAAGCCACCAGGGCTGGGGTTCAAACTCATCAGCCATGTGGGATCCATCTTCCTTAACCACTAGGCCTGCCCAGAATTTCTTTTTATTACTGAATAATGTTCCCTCTTCATATATATACTGCGTTTTATTTAATCATTTGTCCATTTATAAGCATTTCAGTTGTTTCCACCTTTGACTATTGTGAATAATGTTGCTGTGAGCATTGATTTGCAAGTATCTGTTTGACTTTCTGCTTTCATTTCTTTTGGACATAGACCTAAAAGTAGTATTGTGGCACTTAACTTTTAAAGGGAAACAGGTTTCATAGTTGCTAGACCCTTCCATTCCCACCTCCAATGCAATAGGGTTCCAGTGTCTTCATATGCTCACCAACACTGTCTTTTCAAGGTTTTTTAAAAGACTAAAAAAAAATACCATACTACTTTCTAGTTCCATAAGATCCATGAGAAGTACATTCATAACATCGTTACATTAACAACGACATTTGGGGGACCAGCAGTTGGTGTAATGGCTATGTCGCTGGACTCCCATGTAGTCAACCACGGTTCAAGTCCCGGACTCAGTGGCTTAATCTCACACCAGACGTGTGCGTATGTGCCCAAGATCCTGAGAGGAGAATGGAGGAGAAGGGATTGCGGTGTAGCCATCCCCTGGGGGGTGATTTCTCACTTTCTGTCTCTCCATCTCTCTCTGTCTTTGACAAGCACACGTACCCTATAGCAAAAACCTCTCCAAACAAAAAAAGACATTTCGGGGTCTAACCTTGTGGCCTGATGGTAAAGAGAGCCAGATCTCACATGGCCAACCATGCAGTAAAAATCCTGGCCCTGACAGCTTGAGGAACACGCTGGGCATGTGTGCCCAAAAACCTGACAGGAGGGAGAAATGAAAGACAAGGGGTTGTGGCATGATCACATCCCATCCCATCGGGTGGTGCTTTCTTCCTTTCCTTCTCTCTCTGGTGCGTGTACATACCCTCTCACAAAATAAACAATAATGATAAGTTAAACATAAAAATGACATTTTGGTGCCCAGTGTGAGAAAAAGTTTGTACGAGCCAGCATCAAAGAATATTGACCTTTCAGTCTTACTGTTGTGTCATACAAATTGTATTCATGGAAAAGCCTCTGAGATAAGAAATTACTCTTTCAATGTCAGATTCATAAGTGCCAAATAGGTCAAGATGGATTCATCGTCTTTACGTCTCTGTTCATAGCGATGTAATTGTTTTGTTTTGTTTTTCCCTCCAGCTCCCTGCACAGGCAGCACTTTCTTTTGCCACAGCAACATGTGCATCAATAATTCTTTAGTCTGTAATGGTGTTCAAAACTGTGCATACCCATGGGACGAAAATCACTGTAAAGGTGAGTCCAATGCAAAAGTCAGCCTTTTTGAGAAAACACTGGCTATTGCCTTTCATTAAAAAAGACTTAAAATGTCCTTTTCCACAGCTGTGCTTAACCTAGCTGCTTTGGCAAAATCAAAGAAATGGAAGATAAATCTTCCTTTAAATGGATCATAGACCTCTGGGATGTGGAAAAACAAAAATACTGATTCTCAACAAAAGTATTTTTTATTTACACATCGTGTTTTTTACCTTAAGTTGTTGAAAAGTACATCCTGATATTTCTCACCCTTAATTTACTTTCTTATTGTGGTCAAAGTTCATAATTTGCATTATAAAGAGACATCATTTAGTTCTCAGAATAATTGAGAGGGTAACCTAGAATATTCTTTTAAAAATTATATTGAAAGAGTCTTAATAGAAATCAATTATGGATCCAAGTTTACAATGTAAAAGCAGACCTATAATAAAAACTGCTTTTATTTTATAGAATTTCTTATACTCTTTCCATAATAGTCTCTAAAAAGTAAATATGGCTTTTGATAACTTTGAATAATTGGTAGGTAGGTTGTGACATTGTCTCTGTTATCCTCAAAAATTTAATAACTATGTTACTATGAAAAGATAATGTACAGGTACTACTCACCTAATGACTGAATTCTGTCCTACGACTAGGAAGTTAAGCAAATTGAGCAAGGAGCTGAAAGGCAGGTGTTTTGTGGTGTCTCATGGCGCCACAGGGTACATATTTCTAAATAGATACCATATGACACTACACTAATAATGTAATCTGTCTATACACAAAGCATACATTAGGTAAGCATCAGAAAACGACAAGATACACAACACAATAATATAAATCGAGTGTAATCACTTTTATTTATTCTGAATACTACTATGGGTACACAATAAAGTACAAATTTATAAACCAAATATGGAGTCTGCGTGATTACAAACGCTTTATGTAGTGAATACTAACCAACTGGGGGAAAGAGATAAAGAAGGAGGAAGGGGATTCCACACACTGGAGAACTGGCGCTAAGTCTAAGTAGATAGGTCATTAAGTGAGAAGTAGCTGGAATCTGATATGGCTGCTTTAAGTACTTGATATGGAGTATTCTAGGTAATCATTTAAAAACGGTAGACCATGATAAAATACGTGGGTAGGTTCATCTGATCATGTTAGTTCTCCTTTCCTGGTAGCTGTCAGTAGAAATATTGTGGATAGACTTAAACATGGCAGTTGGCCAAATCTATTGTGGAGCAGAAAGCTGAACTTCGTCTAATAAGAGTATTTTGGCATTTTCTATACGTATGCATTCAGTGTGACTTGCAGATGGTAAGCATGCGCATGTCTTCTGAGCGAAGGAATAACTAGTTTTATCTTTTTTGTATTCTAGCTGTACTGTGATCAGCTACGTTAACCAGAAATCATACGAGGATTATTTTATTTGTTTAACAACCTAGATTTAAACTGTATTGCATAAGGTTTATTTGACCCAAGTACTCTGCTGTACCTAAAAATACCTTACCAATTGTGCCAGAACTCATACTAATGAATTTTGAACTCTTCAATGTCTCTTTCTCTTTCTACAGAAAAGAAAAAAGCAGGACTATTTGAACAAATCACTAAAACTCATGGAACAATTATTGGCATTACATCAGGGATTGTCTTGGTCCTTCTCATTATTTCTATTTTAGTACAAGTGAAGCAGCCTCGAAAAAAGGTCATGGCTTGCAAAACTGCTTTTAATAAAACTGGGTTCCAAGAAGTGTTTGATCCTCCTCATTATGAGCTGTTTTCACTAAGGGACAAGGAGATTTCTGCAGACCTGGCAGACTTGTCAGAAGAGCTAGACAACTATCAGAAGATGCGGCGCTCCTCCTCTGCCTCCCGGTGCATTCATGACCATCACTGTGGGTCACAAGCATCTAGCGTCAAACAAAGCAGGACCAACCTCAGTTCCATGGAACTTCCTTTCCGAAACGATTTTGCACAGCCACAGCCAATGAAGACATTTAATAGCACCTTCAAAAAAAGTAGCTACACTTTCAAACAGGCCCATGAGTGCCCTGAACAGGCCCTAGAAGACAGAGTGATGGAGGAGATTCCCTGTGAAATTTACGTCAGGGGGCGAGAAGATTCTGCACAAGCATCCATATCCATCGACTTCTAATCTACTAAAGGTGACATTAATTATTCAGTGCGTCCGTATATAGCCCACAGAGCACCCATATCATTTCCAGCAGCCAACCCTTTTCTCCTATCCAAATTAGGAAGACCTTTACTTACTAATAACCTATTGTCATAGTGACATTTTTGTTATCTCAGGCAGTCTTATGTATGTTAAGCCAACCAAGTAACTTATATTTGGTGAGGGGAAAAAAATCATAATCATCTGAGGCCTGGTGTCACACCACCAGTTAGATAGCAGTTGAAGAGGGGAAGTGATTACATTTAGCCAGGCCCAGGCTGCCTATCAGTTTTAGCAGCAGAAACACTGTTCCTGACTAAGAAAGCTCTGTCAGTATCTTGGTCCCACAATAAACTTTAAAAATTTTGGAAGATTTTTCTTTACATTCCTTTACATTTTTTCTCTTCATTTGTTTTTTAAGCCTGTAATTTTACCATCTCAGTTTCTTACATAAATATAAATGGTTAATATACCATATACTTCAATATAGGCATTCTTAAATTTGTCCAAATATAGCTTGTTACTGTGATAAGTGCCAATTAAGACAATTATACTTCATCCATCTGTTTCTTCTTGACTAATCTCTATACTTCTGTCTTTTAATTACTGGATGCGTAGTCATTATTTTCTCTGAGAAGTAGTAGATATGATTTATCACCTTTGAATCATATTATATCATAGTTATATTGTCCTAGAAAATTTCACAATTCCGGCATGTGTTGCCAGATACGACTAAAAATTTGAGAAAGACAAAATCTGACTGCAAGCTTTTGAAACTTCACAAATTTGGTCACATTCTGTGACAGCCTGTTCAACCCAGTAAACAGAGTCATTAGTCTTGGGGAGGCCTGTAATTATGTTTATTTGCAATAGTTCTCATCACCAGAGCTGTTTCCTATTATTTTTTTTAAAGATTATTTAGCTCCCTTTGTACTGGTTTATGTTAAGATATATAGTAACCAAGATTGATGAGCATTTAAAGGGAAATTTCTGAGAAACTGTATAAGCCTTTAGATTGCTTCTTACTTGGGACAGTACATTTTTCTAGCTCTTATAAAAAATAACAATTCCACTTTTTTTTTTTAACTGCACTTTTGACCTTATTTTTTTTATGGTATATGAAACAATAATTTATAAACATGATATAAAAACTCATTGTGTTTTTTTAGACTTTTGATATTATTTGATACTGTATAAACTTTATTAAATCAAGATTAAAGACTTACATAAGAGATTCCTTTCAGTGTTCACATTACCAGCTTTGTATACAAATACGCTGTGATGGAACTGTACACTATAATTTATTGTGAAGACCTCAGTAATGTGTACATAAGCTTTTTCTTTCTTTTTGTTACTGTATTTAGTTTGTGATAAATTTTTCACTGTGTGATATTTATTGCTCTAAATTACTACACCAGCTCCTACATTAAAATATACATTACGACATGATCCTTTAATCATGTTATTTATGGCACTGAAATTTTAGATCTTAAGAAATGTATAGAAAGGAATCCATTCATTGAAGTATAATTAATACAAACATGCCGTTTAAAAGAGGTAAATTCTCAGGACCAGCAGATTGCATAATGGTTACATTGCTTAACTCCCAGGTAGTTGACCATGGTTCGAGTCCCAGACCTAGCAGCCTGAAACCCAGGCTAGGCACGTGTGCGCACCCAAAATCCCAAGAGGAGAATAGAGAAGAAGGGATTGCAGTGTGGCCATGCCTCTGGGGGGATGATTTCTCACTTTCTGCCTCTGTCTCCAGCCAGTGTATGCACCCTATAACAAAAGTCTCTCTCTCCAAAAAAAGAGGTAAATTCTCATTTTCTGTATTATGTGTAGTAAGTTCTCAATGAAATGAAAAGTTGAACTTTCACTAGATTTCATTAACTCTTTTAAATATTACTTAGATATGTACTCTCAGATTAGTGAAAACAGTGACCTTAAATATGATTTACATATGTAATAGTGCCTCAAAATAGATTTCTCATATTACATTTTTTTTTTTTAAAGAACTACATAATATTCAGGAGATAGAAAAACTTACCCTTAGTATATTCACGATTTACAGCGTTTTATGTTTTAAAAATACAACTTAGCTGGGGCTCGCAGGTGGCATGGTAGTTAAAGACGCGGGACTACCACATGACTGACCGCGGTTTGAGTCCTGGACCTGGCAGCTTGCTTTCTCACTTTCTCTCTCTCCCCCTCTCTGGTCAAATTTTAAAAGTAAATAAGTAAGGTTAAATAAAATAATTATTTTAAAACTAAAATACAAATTGGGGGACTGGCGGGGCATGGTGGTTAAGGCGCTGTGCTCCCACATGGCCAACGAAAGTTCTAGTCCTGGACCTGGGCAGGTTGCTTTCTCTCTGGCCAAATTAAAATAATGATAATAAATTATATAAGTAATCATTTTTAACAGGTTTTTCCTTTATGGCATGTGCACTCACTGGAAAGAGAGAGAGACACACAGTGAGAAATCAACCCCCAGGAAAAAGGCCATGCCACAGTCCCTTCTCCTTCCTGGATCTCAGGCACACGTGCACACAAGCCCAGATTGAGTTTCAAGCCATGGGTCTAGGACTCGAACTGCAGTTGGCCATGTGGGTATCCAGTGATGTAACAGCCATACCATCTGCTGGCCCCAATAAATAATAATTTTTTAAAAAATACAACTGAGAAAGGTAAAAGCATTTAGTGAACATAGTATTCAATGAACTCATGACACAGACAGATTGGATAGCTAAGTTCTTTCAATAGCTGTGTTGAATAAGCATTCTAGTAGGTTATTTATCCAGCCAGTATTTGAACAGCATAGTAAATAACATAACAACTATAATCTCATTCTTTATGATGCTGAAAGGGTAATTTGCATATTTTCTATATAAAATTAAATCCATTGTAAAAATAGTTGTTTAAAAAATCCATCTTCAACCCCCAGATTATAGTAGAAAATAATACAGTATGCTTAACTACATTATCAATAGTTGATTGTAACTATATTTTTTAGAATTTGTATCCTTTCTTTTAAAAGGCCTTGAAGGGGACCAGCAGTTGGCATAATGGCTGTATTGCTGGACTCCCATGTAGTTGACTGCAGTTTGAGTCCCAGACTTAAACTCACGCCTGGCACGTGTGCGTGTGCGCGTGCCCAAGATTGTGGCATGGCCATCCCTCTGGGGGACAATTTCTCGCTTTCTGTCTCTCTCTTTCTGGCAACCTCATGCACCCTATAGCAAAAACTTCTAAAAAAAAAAGACACCTTGAAGAAGCTTACAAAAATACAGAGCCTTTAGAAAAGACATTTAATGTTAAATGTAACACAGAAGTACATGGTTTCATGCAACTCAGCAAATAAAGCTTGTGCAGTAAATTTGGTTTAAATGCTCTGGCTACTAAAACAAAAAAGTTTGTTTTTACACAATGGAAAACACAAACATCTGCTAAGAGGCTAGTTTTCTCGTAAGCTAAAGTATGAGAGTATTTATATAATGCCATGTTTCCTCAGAATTTTAAAAAGATGCCAGGGCCAGCCCTGTGACCCAGTGGTTAAGGGAGCTGGATCCCACATGGTCAACCACGTGGTTCAAATCCTGGTCCCAGCTACCTGAAAAACATGCCTGGCGTGTGTGTGCGTGTGTGTACGTGTTTGTGTGTGTGTGTATATACCCAAAATCCCAACAGGGTAGAGAAGGAGAAGGGATTGCCATGTGACCATGCCCCATTATGGAGTACGTTCTCCTTTCTCCCTCTCTGGTGAGTGCACAAGCCCTCTGGCAAGTTAAAAAATTAAAAAGTGGAGAGAGAGATAATGGTGAGTCTTAACCCAATGAAGGCACAACTTAATACAGGAACATTGGTTTCAGATCAGTCTGTTCAAAGGGATAGAACTGAAGAACCAAATAGTCAATAGCTAAGCCAGTTTTCGATTGCCATGTTGTATGCTTTCATTGAATTATAAATAGGTATTAGCTCTCATTAATTTCTTAACATTTCATCTCTATGCTATAAGGATAGAAGAAAATTGAACTACTAACTACTAGACATTATTCTCAGAATAATTCCTTAATTGCTATACTTATAGTCTTTAATCTTTAAGATCAGTGGGAAAACTTTACAAATTGTTTACTACAGAAAGCCATAAATTTTAGTATTGAAAGACATGAAATTTAGCCATCATGTGGAAGTTATTATATTCTATGCAGTACCCCAGTGTTAAACATATTAACAGGAAACTCAAGTCTGGAGGGGGTAAATATCTTCAATTCAGGAACAGCATTAAAAACACCTCTCTGACACTAACTTCCGTCTCAAATTTAACAAATAGAAGCCCCCAATTGCCCGCAAGTTGCAGGAAACCTATGAATCCCAACATCTAAAAGTATGTAGGAAGAAAATGTGATACTCCTTTTGTGATGGGGAACATACTCAAGGGTTTAATAAAAAGCAAAGGATTTTCACATCACAAAAGAGATTGAAAAGGTGCCTGTGGGCCAGCAGGTGGCATGGTGGTTAAGGCACTGGACTCACACATGGTCCTCCAGGGTTTGAGACCTGGACCTAGCGGCTTGATACTGACACCAGGTGCATGTGCATAGATGCCCCAACTCCTGATGAGAATGGAAGAGAAGGGATTGCAGAATGGTTATTTCCCTGCCCCTCGAGGGTGATTTCTCATTTTCCCTCTCACTGTCTTCAGCTAGCACACACACCTATGGCAAAAACCTTTAAAATTTTTTTAAAAAGGGTCCTGTAAGTTTGACTTAACAGTGTTTATGTCACCGTCTTCATATAATTATTAGACATTAAACGAACCTCTTAAATGTCTGCCTCTAAACATTTTTATACTTCTGCTATTGTCTGATAAAAAAGGTGCTTCTTTGTGTCAGGCATCTATCAACTGATGAAACAGGATGGAAGAAGCCTGGCTGTAATTCTAGGAATCACGCTCAATCAAAGGAGATTATGCTCACATTGCAAAATGGTGTCTGCTATATTGTTCACGTGACTTTATTGCAAGTACTAAAAATAATATGCATTAAATCCCACTGATTAGATCCAGGAGAAACTTCAAGTTTTCAGTGGTTTTAAAGATCCAAGAAAGATTATCCGGTGTGACTTTATTAATAACAAGACTGAAGCCCAAAGAAGCGAAGTGAGTACCTACGTCCCAGAATTCTTAGTCCTATCCTCTTTCGTTGTTTATTGCATCTCTCTGCTTTTAGTCAGCTATAAATTTTAGAATTCAAGCAGTACTATGCGGCAACCCAGATGTTCCGTATAAGTCTGTCAACCATTCAGATTGAAAATGTAATTTATTCTATAACAGCTCCTTTTCAAAGTATTATATTTCACCTTTTAAATTATGTATGTAACACCATGTTCTACAATTTTGTTGCCGTGATTCCTTGGCACCTGCAAACTCTGCAAGAAAATTACTGTGAATTCTTAATAAACAAGGTTTGTTAACAATATTATAGGCTTAATACTAGACAGCTTTGGTGTTTTTGCTTTTGTGATCTTTTTTAAATCTGAAGGAAGCAATGTATACCCTAGAAATTAAACATTTGTGTGCTGTATTACTCGAGTTTGGGAGAATGATTTGAGTTCTGAACCAGTTTAAATGACAAATTGACCTCAGATACCTTTCTTAGCTTCCTGCAAAATCCGTTACTTATGTTTTATATAAAGTAACAGTTCAAAAATCTGAGTTTGCTTTTTTTTTTTTTTTTTTGTAACTTTTTCATATGATTTTGCAATTGTCTTAGTGACTCCAGAAGTCCAAGAAGCTTAATGACTAGGCTGCATATCAAGTATG